AAATCATATCATCTGCAAATAACAATAGTTTCACCTACCCTTAGTTTTTAAAAAAAGACCCCAAGTGGGACTTTGCTAATAGAACCTGGAGACTTGCCAGCTTGACCCACTTTCTTAACCACGCTTGGGGATTGGGGTGCGGTGGTCCATATATCAATATAAGGGAATTGATCAGGGTGGCCAGGTTTTCCTGTTACTACCTTCTACACTGCTTGGGCTATCTTAGGGTCAGGAGTTCCCATGTCAGACAACCTAACTTCAAATGTAGGCCACTCTGATTCACAAAGGTTCTGGAGTTTTGTAGGACTAAGTTTTACTCCAGTCTGATCAATGAATTCGGCTTTAAATTCGTTCAACATGAACTGCAGGGGAGTGCTACTTGTAAAGCACGCTAATTGATCCAGTGGAGAAAGAAGAGAAAGGTAAACAAAGAGACTCCTGGAGGGGGTGTGTGTAAAACTGGAGAGAGTCCCCTGAAAGCAGAGGTCAGTAACCACTCAAACAAATGACCTGGGGCCCAAGAGTGAGGACAAAGTCATTGACTATCTTGTAACAGACAATGAAATAAGAACCAATGGTCCAGAGGACTATCTCTCATTTGACCAAGCACTGGAGGACTTAAAACAACACGACTCAAAAAACATGAAAGAGAGCCAGCAGGAATTTCTGGAGAGGAGTCTACTCCACCGGGGCAGTCACTGCCAACCCAAGGGCGAAGACCAATACAAGGGGAGCACAATGAGATGAGGAAGGAGACAGGACAATCACGATGGGACCATTTGATAACAAATCCAAAAATAGACTTCACAATAGCCAGACTCATCAAGTGACATCTCAGTGAAGAGTATACCTGAGAAAGTTAAGATCATGGATGGTCCCCCACGTCCCAATGGACTATTCCAAAACCAGAAAGAAAACAGGGCCTTACCTCTAGAGGTGAAGCAGGTAGACGCTAAACACAGATTTGGGGTGAACATCTCCTGTGCGGCTGCTGGGCCAGGTCAGTGTGGAATTCTCCCCTGCCCCGGAAGCTGTCCAGTTGAGGCTGTATTCCAGATGGCACAGTAGTTTTCTTGCTGGGGCCTCCACATGTTTCATGTTGTGAGAAATTAATAACCACTGTAAACCCATTTATGTCCTCAATGGAGTCTTTATTCTAGTCCGCAGCCATCAGGAGGACTCAAGTCTCTCTCAAAAATTCCCCAAGGCCCTGAGTAATATTCAAGAAGGGTTTGTAAGGCCAAACACCGCAGCCCGTTTGGCAAGCAGGTAGGGGTTGAGGGCTTCACACCCCTTTCAACAAGCAGTTTACAGAAGATAAGATAAGTGTTAATCCATGCCTAACTTTGTGAGGCAGGGTGGGATGGGGTAAGGGACAAAGGGCACAATTTGAGAACAGGAGCATTTTGACATTTGGGTAATTCACTGAGAAGCACATCTTGAGGCAAAGCGGGGCATGGAGGAGGAAGAGATTACATGCTTTAGGGATGAGAGAGGCCTGGGAAGCATTTAAAAAATTCTAAAATGGAGTCGCACGAGCCAAGATTGGGAGTGGTTCTTACAAGTATTGCTTACTCAATGTCCAACGTTCACATGCATATTTAGGCAATAGAAAATCCCATGGCTTGAGTCAGGTGCACCTTAGCCCCTACAGTAGCCTCCTTGCTTTTCAACACTTAAAAAAGTTTCTGTCAACCAACTTAATGGCACCTAACAACAACAACAACAACAACAACAACAATAACATGGAATCCATATTCCCAGCTGTTGGAGCAAGTGCCATATCCCTTTCCATGATGTTTGCACATTTCTACAGTCGCACCAGCAGTGTGTGAGGGTTTCAAAATCTCCATACACAACTGTTATTGTATGGGGTTTTAAAAAATAACTTTGTGCATTTATCTGTGTACTTGTCTGCTATTTATACAGATTCAAGTGTTAAAATACTTTATAATCTTCCATTCTGATGGATGGGATCCAACATGTACATGTGGAAAAAAATAGGATTGTACACAAAAGGCAGGAGGGATGGATGACCCAATAAGTGCAACAGTCAACTGTAGAACCATCGTTTCAGGCTTGGGTTCTTATAACAGGCACCATGAGGAGAGTTGGAAGTTAATGGAAATCAACTCAGATAAAGTGTCAAAGTATATAGGTGGCTCGAGAAATTTTCAAGTTCATTTTTGCTTCAGATGGAGCTGGAAGTAGTGTTCAAATGGGCAACAGTGTCTTTATATCTCTCTACCTGTTGTGTCTTGGTTCGACTTCTTTCTGTGTTGCCTGCATCCTCAGACACTTTGTCCATATGGCAGCAGTTCCCAGCAGCCTCAGCTTCAGCCTCAGGTGGCTTTAGCACTGGCTATTTCAGAAGGTGAGAATACCTCTCTCTGAACGTTGTTGAGCCCTAGTTGATCTTTGTTGATCTCCCGATTGTGTGGTGGGGCATGGGACATTTTGGTGGCCATCCTGGGTCATTTGCCTATTCCCTATGATGTGGGAGTTGGAGAGTACTGACAGCACTTCTCAAAAGATGCTGAGGGCCAAAAAATGAGAAAGATGTCCACTACTAAGGATGCTGAAATTAAAAAGACAAGGCTGTGGAATTCTTTGGGATGCAAGGAACAGGGAAGCTTAAAATGAAACTGTTAAAACAGGGCTATGTTATTTTATTAGGTCCAGAGGTAGTAGTGCTCCGGCTGTTTCTGACTCATGGCCAGTTTTACCTCAAGTCAGGTTTTCCCTTCATATGAGAACAGAGGAAATGCTGGGACTCCCAGGGAGAAAATTCTCCCTCTGGAAAGGACGGTAAAGCCTTTCTTCCCATTTGGTTGAGCTAGCCTGTGTCACATGCCCACCCCTAAACCAAACATCACTAGAGCAATACTGAGCACTTGATTGACCTATATCAATCACTATGTACTTTTGGGGGGGGGGAAAGGCAGTGGTCACTGTTCATATGAGACAGGGTGGATATTTGAACAAAACTCGGGTCTTGTTAGAGAAGATTGAGGGAAGGGTAAATGAGATAGGGTAAGGTGGAGAGGTAGTTTCTGGCCAGAAAGAAAATTTCTAGACATCCCCTGGGCCATAGCTGATCAAAGCTGTGGAGGTAAGATCACAAGAAAGTGCCTTACAAATACCAGCAAAGTGGACAGATTCTACTATTATCACCTCCTATGAGCCAGGAGGGCACCCTGCATGCACCATGGGAAGCAGTTGGCTACTAGCAGGTGGTCAGTAGTTGGAACCCAGCAGCTGCTCTGTGGGAGAAAAATGTGATAGTCTAATTCTATAAAGATTTAGACTCAAAAACCATCTGAGGCAGGTCTGCTCTACCCATCAGGGTCACTCTGAGACAAAATATGCTCATTGGCAATGGGTTATAGGTTTGTTTTTTGTTTGTTTTTTGGGGGGTTGGTTTGAGCCAAGGATTGTGCTAAATTGTGGGGATATAGTGACAAATGAGATGGATAAGATTTATTTCCTCATGGACTTCTAATGAGAGAGACAGACACAAATAAATTAATTGAATACAGTGTGTACATATAAGGTCACTAGGTGGCACATTTGATTTGCAGTCAGCTGTGAACCTAAAGGTTGGCAGTTCAGAATTACACAAAGGCTCCATAAAAGATGGCCTGGACAACTGGTGCCATAAAGATTTTAGCCAAGAAAAGTCTATAGAGCAGTTCTACTCCATCACACCTGGGATTACTCTGCGTCAGAATCAACTCAATGACATCAGGGGAGTGTGCATACGTATGATCAAGAAAAATAAAGCTGGAAAAATAGGTTAGAGAAAATTTATTGAGAGGGATATCCATGGCCCTTTGCTTAGGTTGACATTTGAAGCCATTTAAAAGGCATGATGAAGTGAGCCAACGTGGCAAGTGGAGTCAAAACACTCCCAGAGAGACAGCCACTGACAAGGGTCCAGGATTCTAACAACCCCATGAGAAATACCCTGGCATGCCTGGGAACATGGAGGTGGACGACAGAAGAGTCAGAGGCAATGAAAACAAAGAGGAAGTTGGGCTCAGGTCACATATGGACTATCTGCCCTATGATTAAGACATTCAATTCATGATGCTAGAGAAAAGTATTGAAACTCTCTGGCTTTTGAGGAAAATGTGGCCCTCTCCCCCAGCCACTCTCCCATAAATGACTTCAACTTCTTTCCTCTCTTCTCTTACAGGCCATGTACATGTTCTACGCACTGGCCATTGTGTGTGATGACTTCTTTGTGCCCTCCTTGGAGAAGATCTGTGAGGTAGGTACCTTGTTCTTCCTGTGCTTGAGTCTCAAGTTCCACAGCTCCAGTATCACAAGCCCAAGGCATCCGTGACCCCTTAGCCAAGACTCGGAGAAGGCTCTCCCATGCAACATATCCTCGGGATGCCAGGAATGCCCTCCTTGACAGCCAGTATGAGTTTCTATAAACCTACTTAGAATCTGTGGTCCTGATAAATAGTCAGAATTTAATTCAAATACACAGTTTCTCCTGCTCCATCCAGCATAGGGTAGTTTAAAGGTACTGTTAGTGCACTTCTTCTTAATTTTCTTTCCCTCTTTTAAAACTTACTCTTCTTTTATCCCTCTCCTCTCCTCCATTCATTTCTCTTCCATTTCCTTCTGCTCCCCTGCTCTCCTCAGCGACTCAGGGGGGTCTCTCCCAGTCAGATGTCTGCAGCCACACACCTCCATCAAGTTTCCTCTCTGCATGCGCAGAAATGCTCAAAGCTGAGACCTCAGTGGCGAAAGATGAAAGAATTGGCGCCAAGATCAGGAATGGACCCTGTGAAAAGGCTTCACACTGAACGCCAGGCTAAACCCTAGCTGAATCCTTTTCATCAAAGATAGCCAACATGCCAAGAACTCTTTCATTCCCTGCCACTTTCATCCCTTTGTCTGCTTTGAAATGTAGTTTCCTTTATCTGAAAACTTTCCATTTTATTTTATTTTTAGTTCAGAACCCCAATTTTCAGAAGGGATCTCTCCCAGACACACTCCCATTTGGAACTCAAACTTCTTTATACCGGTACTTCTCAAACTTTGCTACCCCTTCCCTTCTTACTCCTAAATTTCTGATTCAAGAATTTCATTTTTAACAAATTCCCCAATGACATGGAGGATTCTGATCCAGGGAGTATACTTTGAGAATGACTAGCTTAATCAGTTTGTTCAATTTTTGTACTCTGGAAAATAATAAAAATAAATGATTACAAGCTAATCACAGCAAAACAATGGATTGTGGAAGTAAGAGAATGAAAGTGAATGAGATGGTCTTTGAGGTAGACCATGGGTAGCTGTGGAATCCCTTTGATCAATGTGTTTTAACCTGGAATCAGGGACACCTTTGTCTAGAACTAGAGAAAGCAGTTAAGTACCTATAATTAGTATGATTTCAGTAATATCTGAAATACAGTAATCATTTGAGGGTTTCTTCTTCACGCAAAACACAATTACTCCCACACAATGATTTCCCCCCCTAATACCATAGTTAGGACCCCATGCTAGAAATATAACTGTCAAAATGTGATCACCTTGGTTGGGAAGCTCATTGAATCTGCATGCCTACATATTTGTTTGTAGGAAAATACAATTTAAGACCTAAAATAAAAGCACAAAAAAGAGGGGTAAGGGTTTGGTTTTTTTTAATAAAGATAATGGGAGGAAACAGACAATACGAAGGAAATAAAGTAGTAAATGGAAAAAAAAGCTAACTTGTATTTAGCTGTTTTTCCCCACCATGTGTCTGTCATTAGTCATACTGTGGAGGCTGTGTTTTCCTGCAGTGCCGGAAGCTGTCACTGGTCTTTCAAATACAAGCAGGGTCATCCACAGTGAACAGGCCTCAGCAGAGTTTCCAGACTAAGACCAGACTACGAAGAAGGAATCGGGTGTTCACTCGGAGGAATTAGCTAATGAAAAGCCTATGGATAGCATCAAAACATTGGTAGTTTCTGAAAGCCTCCTGTGTAACAGCACAGTGCCAGAAGATGAGCCTATCAGGTCAGAAGGAACTCAAAATATGACTGTGGAAGAGCTGCCTTTGCAGCGTAAAGCCAACCATAACGGTGCAGATGGAGTAAAGCCTATGGGAGTAAAGCTTTCAGGACCTTCATTTGCTGATGGGGCATGGCTCAAAATGAGTAGAAACAGCTGCAAACATCGATTAATACTTTAAGCTTGGAATGTACAAAGTATGAATCTAGGAAAATTGGAAGTTGTCAAAAATGAAATAAAACATATAAAGATTGATATTCTAGGGATTCGTGAGCTATAATAGACTGCTATTGGCCATTTTGAATCAGAAAATCATATGGCTTGCGATGCTTAAGTGACATAATTTAGAAGAATGGTGTTGCATCCATAGACATCAAGGACATTTCAAGAGCCGTGTTGAAGTACAATGCAATCTGCAATAAGATCATGTCTATCCCCATACAAGTAAATCTAACCAGTGCAATTATTATTCATATTTATGAAACAGCCACTAAAACTGAAGAATTCAACTAATGCCGGCAGTCTGAAATTGATCAAACACGTAATCAAGATGCATTGATAATTACTGATGATTAGAATGCAAAAGTTGGAATCAAAGAGAAAGTAACACTAGTTGGTAAATATGGTCTTGGTGATAGGAAAGAAGCTGACGATCTTAT